TATATATATATATATAATATTTTTTTCCCGAATTTTATTACAAACTATAATAATCACTTATTATAATACAATTAAACTGAGATATTCATGAGTTGCGTATGTGCGTATGAATTTAAGAAATAAAGAAAAAACCGTGCAATAAAGCTGAGAATATTAATAATGTAAAGAATTTAAAAATATATTATTTTACTTACTTCGTAATATACAACAAAGCTGAGAACATTAATAATGTAAAGAATTTAAGAATATTATTTTACTTACTTCGTATTTTGCATTAATATTTCGATAGAAAATTGGCACGTGACCTTGGTGTTGAGGAGAAAGATGGCACGGATGACGGGATGGCGCGTCATGTTTACGACGCATAGGCTGTAGTTACCGCGCAGTTATTCCTTTTCCAAGGTTTGTACAGGGAAGGTAATCTGTGTTGCGTACCGCTCTTCTATACATTATTTTTTGAAATTTTACGCGAAGAATAAATATAATGAACGAAACATTGTATTTTAAGAATAAAATACAACTGAAAATTTGCATAAAGAAACATAACTTCGTAATTTTATAAATATTATATAAGACAAAATTCACTAAATTAACTTATTTGAATTTTCAATTTCGTTTTATTATAATTCAACAACTTTTATTTATATGTAGGAGATGTGAAATTAAAATTATTTCATTCAAGGGTTCATTAAACTATCCCTCCTATTGATGATCGGCACGCTTCTATCCTGAGGATTTAGTACAGAGACAAACCATATTTACTTTCGATGATGCGATTTTATCAATAGTGTCAGAAAATGTATGTAGTCACGCAGTTCCTAAACTGAAAATGGATGTACTGGCGGTAGTGTACATATGCGAGTGCCATATTAAAGTGCAGTAACAGAAAACATTTACACCGTAAATTAGAATAAGTGTGTTAACCATATATAAGCTTGTTCTTTTTGGCTGAACTACTTTTGCACTTTAGTTACATTTTATCTTCTTTTTCTCTCCAACAGGAAAGAAGAGAAAGAAAGATGAACTGATGCAAAAGTTCAGTCAAAAAAGAACTGGCTCATGATTATTATCAGTTCAGTGAAGTGAATTGTCAATTGCCGTCTATAGCGTCGCACATCTGTCGTGATGAGTTTTTTAATTCATCGATTGATCAATCGCATTATACGCAAATGCAATACGGGCTTCGCACAATAAAAGGAACAGAGAGCAGAGAACAGAGAATAAGAATTTCAACCTATCAGAAACTGTATTCTACAATACATGATTCATGATAGGTTGAAATTCTTATTCTCTGTTCTTTTTATTGTGCAGAGCCCTTTATGGAACAAAATTACATTTGCGCATAACGTGTGCAATTGATGAATTAAAAAACTCATCCGATTTAGGTAGAACTAAATGAACATGTTGTCGGACGAGGAGAATGACGAACTGCAAGACTTGGAAGCGATACGCGATAAGGTTCTTAGCAACCCACATAGCAAGCGTATGCAAGTCAGCGCTTGGGAAGATGATGATGATGGTGTAGAAGCAGAACGTAATGCAAGAGGTTAGGATTCTGACCGGCTTCTCCACTTGAAATTCTCTTCAAGAATTAATTGCATTTGCGATAATCAAAGGAAACTGTTTGTCTATAACTTCAAAACATTTTCTATTAAAGAACTTTCTCTCAAATTAATGTCGTGTTTTTATATTTTTATTACGTTTCCTTTTCCCTCTAGAACCTGATGCAAAAGCCATGTTAAACGCTGCCGAAGAGGGAAACCTGGAAAACATTAAGAATTTGTTGAATAAAAACCGCCATTTACTCAATTGTACCGATAAGGACGGCTATACTCCGCTTCATAGGGCATGTTATGGCAACAATGTGGAAGTGGTGGAGGTAAGTTTAAGACAATTATTTTCTTCCCTTAATATTTATAAAATTATTTATTAAGTGATTCTGGCTCTGTTCCAACAGTATCTACTTGAAGCAGGGGCTAAAACAGACGCTAAAACTCAAGATGAATGGCAACCTCTACATTCTGCATGCTGTTGGAACAACACAGAATGCGCTGAAGCCTTAATCGCAAATGGAGCAGATGTTAATGCAACAAGCAAAGGAGATCAAACACCTTTACATTTGATTTCTGCTAGTTCATACAACTCTCCTGCTCTCCAGCTTCTTCTCTTGCATCCTGACACAAATCCCTATCTGGTTAACTCAAGTGGAGACACGGCAGATCAAATCGCGAGAAGGACAACCAAAAACTATCCCATGTTCGAAATAATTGAACCCTGCCTAAATGAGATTTAAGGTAAGCAGTTAAGTATTTGTGTTGGATAAACGAGATATCAATATATTTTATTGCAGTAAAGATTTATTTGATATACATATATACATATATTTGCATAGAAATATCAGCAGGAGGAATGCAAACATTGGAAAAATGAGTCGTTTGTGTAAATGCGTCTTTGTTGTTGTGTTTTATGCTATTCTATAAAAATTTATGTATATAAATTACATTCTTGAACAAGATATACAATCTATATGAATACATATGATCCAATATAAAAGTTTATATAAAAATATAATGGGGGATATATAATTACGAGTGTAATCGTTATATCGGAAGAGTCTATCAGAATAATACTTCATCGCATTGTTCATTTTTTCTTCAGTATATGTCATAATGATCATGACTATGGATAAAAAAAGATGAGCGCGATTAACCGAAATGAATATATTAATTTTTAAGTAATAACAGAATGACAAAACTGAAAGAACTAAATTATATTAAGAAAGGACATGAAAAAGCTACACGTTAGGATAAACATTGCGAGTGTAATATAAAACATAAAGTCATGTTTATACTTCCAATCAAAATCTCTTTCTCGATATATAAGTTGTCTTCTCAGTTCATCCATTTGTTTTTGTATCGTTTTTAAATTGTTTGAATAATGAGTTTACAGATCAGTATGATGTTAAATTGACAAATTTCGGAGTGCCGTTGCTGAGACGCTTAGATCCTTCCCAAATGAGAACGGTAAAGTCTTCCGTGATTGCGTATAAATGATGCTGATCCAGAGACCACGATACAGCGATTATTGCACCACAACCTCTCACATTATTCGAAATTTCTCTGACTAACTGCAGGTCCCAACTGCTCCATAATCTATATCATCAAAATACTTCCAATAATTGTTTGTAGATTTAAAATAATTAAATAATATTTTCATCGTACCTTATTATTCCGTTGTCTAAACCAGTTGCGATAACATTGACAGAAATACCCTCCGGTGCGTTACTGTAACAAAGTGCCGTTACACATCGTCTGGATAAAATAGACCCTACAGCCCTCGCATTTATAGTGTGCACTGTCAATTCGGACTGATTGTTGGTCACGTTGTCCTCTGATCTAGGAATGTCATAAGTAGCAGCTACATCCCCAAGTGTTTCACTAATACACAGGAGATGTATAGCGTAACCTTGGTCACGAACTATTGATTTCACGTACGTTAAGCTGTTCCAAAATAAAAATACAGATAAGAACTCATATAAACATATAACTTCTTTCTATATTTAAATATGTAGAATTTATTTTTCTACCACATATACCTATTCAAATCCCAAATAATAATGACACTACTGCCATCGCCGGAACAAGCAATGCTAAATGTACGTGATAGAGATATCACTGTCACTCGATTGTTATGAGCTAGAAGTACTGTCGCAGGTGTTGAACTGAATTCGATTTTACCCGCAGTCCCTATAGTATATGCATGCACTGTGATTCTGCCTGATAAATGTCCAATCCAAAGTTGTCCGCAATCAGGAGTAGATGCTAATGTCGTAATCTAAAAAAAAAAACAATTTGGGATTGTATATTAAATGTTTTATTTTAAAGAAAAAATAATATTCTAATCTTGCTGTATTAAGAAGTTGTTTTCTTTTATTAGTATTTAATTTTGTCTTATTAATTATAAAATGTGTATAAAATTAAGACACTTACGGGATCAAGACCTGAAGATTTAATTAGAGGCCTTGGCGGTTGTTCTTTCTTACATTTTAATCTAGCGATTCCATCTGTGCTGCTCCATGATGCTAATGCAACACCCAATACAGACATACCGCTTAACATACTGCTGCCTAATAACACAAAAGAAATTTTCATTCTACTAGATTTAAAGCTTTAAGTTTTATAAGAAAATGTTACAATATGCAATAATCGCGATATAAATCAATAACCTTTTTCTTTGGTGTAACCGAGGAGAAGCGTGGTATAATTAGGCAAACCAAAAACGTCACCAGTTGCCAAAGGAACTAGAGAAGCTAATGGAGTTTTGTGCTTAAGTTTCCAACACAATATAGGCTCATTGCCGGGCGCGCCTACATAATTTCCCCATTTTATACCTACGATTACATCAGACAGTTGTAACATTTAATGGATTTATGTAATATATTTGAATTATCGCTAATATAGATTGACAGTTTAAACCATAGAAAGCTACAGGGAAGATAATTACCACTGATCCCTTCAATAACCTGCGGTATTTGATTAGGTAACGTTATATTGCCAAGATTTTGAATCATTGGATGAGAAGCTCTGAATAGTTGCGCGGGTGTTTGACCATATGTTCGTACCATGGTTTCCCAGGCCTGACGTTCTAAAGGATCGGTTATCTGTTCTACGTCGAATCCGTAATAAGTCTAAATATAAAAAATGAATTATTCATATTTAATTGTTCAAAGCTATGCTATGATAATGTAAGAATACGTACTGCGGGATGAAAAACATTTATGGCTTCTATCGCCGGTCTTCCTGTCTGTCTGAATCCAAAGACGAGATCGATCCAATATGGCAATACTTCTCTCACGATATCGGATTCTAACGCGGCTCTATGTGCCAATATAAATAGTCGCGCGTCGCCGCCGCACCATTTCGGTAATTCAACATCTCCAACTTTATTACCATTTTGTCGAACACCGAAATTGAATCCTGCAACATATATGAATTCACATTAACTTATGCAGATGTTATTTTTTTCAATATTAATTGCAATATACTCGGATTTACCTTCGAAGTTTAATAAAAATTCAGGTAAATAGAAAAATTCTGGTATTAGTTCCTTCACATCTGTTGTTGAATCACAACTAGTTAATCTCCATGTGGTAGCTAATGCATGGAATGTTCGGTCAGGAATATCAAAATTATTATCTAAAAATAAAAACAAGTTTATGAAAATAATTAATTTTTCAATGAATGTCATTATAAAAGAATAATTTTTGTAACTACCTTGATAACAAAGAAACATGCTAGTAAACGGTGGAAGCCGTACCAAAAAGTGTAATACAGTTCCAGAATTACTATAATGAGAGCCATAATGGAATGGTCCTTGATTCAAAGCAATTAAATTTAATCCTTCTGTTAAAGTTTGTTTCAAGTACTATATAAAAGAAATTTATTAGTGATGCTAAAAACACAATAATAATAATTACTTTTAATGGCTTACATTATAATTATTTATGTAATGTTGTTCGTTCTTTTTATCTTGCACAGCCATCGGTCGTTTGAAATTCCTGTAAAATATACAAGTGTATTCGCATATATATTTGAGAATGTACATGCTGTTGATTTTCCATCATTTACCGATAAATTTTCGGATTGTTCAAATCAATCTTTTCGCTGACATAGTCTGCCAAAACAAACGGGAATACGGGATATTGCATTAAGTCATTATATGAACGACCTGCCAATTTATTCAAGCAAGTTATGTATTCCCAATTGGTGAGCGCGCCACTTCTCCATAAAGCTAGAGCTTCTCCTAAATCATCGCCAGGGATTCGCCTGGGTAAATTGCAAGCGGACAATTCCGTCGCAAACTCGTCTCTTTCCTTGGATGAATTGAACGCTAACAGATATGTTCTGCCAGTAATGAGAAAGATTTCGATAGCCCTCTCTTGCAATTGATATCTTCTTCTGTGCAATTCTCTAATATCCTCGAGACGCCAAACAGTACCACCAGCCACAGCCAAATCGAAACCACCCAATGCTATCTATAATTAACAATGATTAGAATGAGAAGAAGTTTTATTAATTAATTAATTGTGAAATTGTATTTTTAAAAATTAAAGGAACTCACGTCCGTATGCAGTGGCGTATCAGGATTATCCGGAACGAAATACACGCACGTCTCGCTTATGAGGACTTCTCCAGCTAATTCAGCCCTTGGTGTAACAACTTTTGCCTGAGACATCTTACGTATTTTTTCACTTGTATGTAAACGTTCGATCAGAGTCGCGGTATTAGAGTCTTCACGAACACTCGTAAATAAGTACGATAATGGCACCTCGATATTAGAAGACGCTATAAAATATAAAATTTAAGATTAAAATGTGAGTTTCTCTATATTCTCTAAATTTCTTTGCATGTGTTAAATGTTAATTAGGAGATTGCATTTACTTAAAAGATCACAATCTTTGAATGCTTTCTGTAATATTTTATAATATTTATTTTGATCTATAAATATACCTAATTTATCTTGATATTCAGGCAAAAGAAATCTCTTGTCAATATTTAAGTGACACCTCTGAAGTCTTATTCTGACTCTTGCAGGACCTTCAGTTGGATCTAATTCCCAATTTTTGGGGTAGCTTTCAGAAAAATGCCATGGCGCCCGTTCGTGGGTTATTCGTTTGGCTATGTCTCTCCATCTAGCAACTGCCTGAGCTTCTAATGCTCGCGAGTGTTTCAATTGCTCCATCAATACCTTACGCTCACGATTTTGTTCCTCTACAACCGAACGGGTTATAGTCATAGCGCTTTCGGTTAGTTGCTTCGCTAGCGCATCAAATCTCTTGCCAATTCTAGCATAAAATTATATCGTTTTATTAATTTTTTAACAAAACGTACGCTAACTTTCGAAATAAATATGCATTTACCTTAAAATAGCAGGATAATTGTCGATACAAATGTCCTGATCCGGATGTACATCTCGACGTAACACAGCTAATTCGTCATTCCATACTTCAGGATTAGCTTGTTCAATCCCTTGGGCGAGATTCCATACATGCAGAGCTTCTCTCAACTCTGCACATACTCTAGCATCGGCACTCGGCATTTCATTCCGTTTTTGTAATAAGTCCCAGAAGAACACAGTAAACTTTTGCTCCAGCTAAACATAAATTTCGATTTTATCGAGTTGAAACAAAAGTTCGTAGCGTTACGAACTTTTGTTTCAATATATAAGCAGTTAATTGGAAAATTAAAAGTTATATGTGTGAAAGGATATGGTGAGACAATAGTAAGTTATTTAAAAAAAAAACTCATATTTCAATATAGATAGATAATTTTACATTTTACTGTAAAATAATAAATGAAGAGACATATTACACAAATTAATGTAAATACCTGTGGATGAACTTCCAGAATACACGACAAGATTTCACGAGCTCTCGGTTCTTCCATTAGAGATCTGATGGCATAAATTCTTGTATTGATATTCTGATGTGGCTCTAGCAGCCATACCATAATTCTAGCCGTATACTTTCTCAAAGCTGATTTGACGGACCATGTATTGCTCCAATGATTTTTTTTCTCCAGCGGATTGCATAGTCCATGCAGAAGAATCGAAAACAGTCTTCTCGTTAGTTGCAATTCACTGATAGATGGTGATGCGTCAGCGGCCATTATAAATTCAACAGCACGTGTCACAATAATACGAAAACGATCATTCAGTTCTCCTTTGCTAGGTTCGCGCAGTACAGGAGACGAATTTGTGTGAAGGTTCGCATAACTAGACGAACGGGATCCATGATCGCTCTGCTCACTGGATGTTGTGAGAACTGGAAGAAATTTTTTATGTGTAAATACACAAGCGCCGCAAACTTTCGCGCGTTGTAATTACCTGAGGTAAAATAAGATGCTGAAGCCAAGTAGGAAGCCGTGCTACGTAGACGGAATCCCGAAGGATTCGACATTTTAGTAGTGAGTACATCCAATTCTCCGTCGAATAATGCTACTTGAGCGTCTCTTACGATCGTGCAAATCAAACTTGTGCGGTATCGTAACTTTTCCGATAATTCCATGTAATCGAGTATCAAGTGTAGATCTAGTACCGCTTGCATTTGATGAATTCCCGGTAATTCTAAAAGTTTAGTCGCGATTGCCACGAACAGTACGTGGATATCTCGATGAAGGGATGTCGAGGTACCTTTATGCACAGCTACAACCAAAGCTTGTGCCAATGACTCAATCAAACCTTGCTCCAAAAGTACCCTCAATGCATTTGTATTCTGAAATAATGACAAGTAATTTGTATAGTCATATGTCAGATGTTCATTATCGTTTCCATTTTCAATACCTTTGCTATTATGTCAGTGATAAATGATATTATTGGTCTGGCTACATTCGAATCAGAACCTGCGGCCTTCGCAATCATTGCCATTATCGGTGGCATTGCCGCCAATGTTGGACCTCGTAGAGCTAAATTTTCTAAAGCGACAATCAATGATTCGCTTCCGGGATATAAAGCTATCTGATTTCCTAAATGCATGAAATACTTGTGTTTTATAAATTTATTAACTTCCTCATCGCTAGCGCGTTGTAGGTAGGTTTGTACCACCTGTAAAATACCATGAGATACTGATGAAACATTTCATTCGCTCCGCGTCTTGGTAAAAATGTTATGCGGTATATATTGCATTAAGAAATTATTTACCTTGATCAACGCTGTGCGTACACGAGGATCGGGATCATTAGCTAAAACTAATAGCAATTCAGCTCTTAAAACATGCTTCAACACTAATCCAACTTGACAGTCTGGTAACACTCTTACAGCATCTCTTAATAGTAACAACAGCCCCTCGCAGACTAAGCCCTGACACGCTCTTCTTTCATCTACATATGTTGATTGTTTGTCCTAAATACATAATAATGCAAGATTCGAATAAATAATTAAAATTATATTATATAAAGATTTTACATTTTTCATTATACATACGTTGCTTAGAGGATTGGATCCATCACTACCTGCAATTCCGGAATCTTCTCCGGCACTAGTATTATCTGATGACAGCACTTTTTTACGATCTTTCTTTTTAGGACTTCGTGATTTTTGAATCTAGAAAAGCGAATAATTGATAATATATTGTAATATTCATGTAATGTTTGCAATCAAAGAAATTTTATATTGCAAAGTACCTGTTGCAGTCATACCTGTTCATTTGTCAATGCCTTATTTAATTTGCTATTCTCCACTACGCCTATCAAATCATCAGAAATGACTTTATCATTCTTTTTCCTTGAATTCGTATCCTTCTCTTTGAGTTGCGGCAACATAAAATAAATATTATGTCGCGAATGAGTAACGTAAGTCTCCGAGGCTTGATGAATGAGAACCAGATAATCGGTGATTGCGACTAAGTGAGCAAATTCCGGCGGTGCACCCATTAAGGCGCGCATCAGTTCCACAATAGCGATTCCGGTATTTGAGCTCAGAATGATACTTCCTTCGTCATGCATTTCGTACATGAAATGTTCCTACAAAAGATAAGAGATGTTACTAAAAAATATATAAATTGATATATATTTTATTGTATGTAGACATTTTAATGTACAGATTGTTCTATTTACCTTACACAAGGTAAGAATCGTATCCACAATACCGACCCTGTTTAACTGTGATGCATTGAATTCACGATGGGAGTGTTGATCTCGCAATAAAAGTAATAACGCTTGTAATAGTAAATTTAATGTATCATATTTCATCCACGCTCTCCATGCGGTAAGTGCGCCTTTAATCAATCCCGGATCTGTAATAACAGCTTCGCAGTTTTGTGAAATTGAGTGGTTACCGCTGCCGATATCTTTGATGATGATCGAACTATCGCATGCCGCATCCAGCATCGCCTTCAGAATGTGTCTACCTGTGTGACACCTAGACGATTCCAGAACACGCAGAATAAGTGACGTCCCGCCATCCGATCGATATTGATTCAAGAGTTCTGAATCACTACGAACAAGATGCAGGATTATGGACAGAGCCAAAGCTTGTTCTTCCTCAGTGGAGTTTAATTCGACCACCTACAAGGATTCATAAATGTTTAGAAGAGACATATGCAGATTGCTTTGATTATTTCTTTTTTAATTAATTTAAAAAGATATTTACTCTTGCAAAAAGATATAAAAATACTGGTACACCACCCACTAAGATCGTCGCAGGCACAAGACCTCGATATTGCTGACTTTCTAAACGAGTAGATGTAATTGGAGATATCGATAGAGGTGGTTGTTGCGATACTCTGTGCTCCGGGACCGAAACGACTTTAAAACCTGGTTGGCCCAGGAAAATACTTCTTACAACAACTATAAAAATTATGGCAACAATAATAATATACAATAAAAAAATAAAGTACATAATTTATGATACAATAAAATGTTAATAGCATATCATAAATAACTTACCAGCAGGATTAGCGACAGCTTGGGGATATAAATGTACGATACTAGGGTTTTGAGCCTCGTAACTGAGAAGTAAATTATCTTGCAGCTCACTAAGATGCGAGTTTGTCGCATCCATAACGGCATCCCAATCGATTTTCGATTCTGATACTACTGTTTCGACAGCGCGCCTCAAATAAGTACCGCCATAAGATTTTCGTCGGCTTAAATCAAATTTACCACCTTCTACAATGTATAAAAGTAGGTATTAAAAATTCATGTAACTACAATGTTAAACTTTTTAGTGTACAATTACACATTTATGATTACTATATTAAAAATAATATATTGCTAACCATATTTTACTTCGCGAATACCATTCAATGCGCCAGATGCAATAAGAGGTGCAAAATCAGGTTTTGTCGTGTTTAGAATACAATCTGCCAAGTTGGTGTAATTTGGTCCAAGACCTGCCAAATGCAATGCACGCTCTTTCGTAAATACTGGACATCTACGAACAACAATCATTGGAGATGTACAGGTCTACTGTATATGAATTACTTAGATACTGAATGACAAAATAATGTACCTAAAAATCATTAAATTTCCGAGATACCACGCGCCAATACTGCTCGATCCGACTTGACCTAACAAAATACACGTAGTACCAGGTTTTCTTACTAGTAAACCGTCAAACGGTAATTGAGCATTAATTTCTTTCCAACCGTTTACCCACAGCGTAACTTCAACCACCGCACTACGCTTATTCAAGACAGTATCTTTAATGTTTAAGGTCAAGTGATGCCAGCATCCCGAAGGAAGCATACCATTTATCGAAGTTTCAGAAATCGTTCGATTTATCTTATCATCCGGTCGAGTAAGTCGTAAGATTAATTTATCTAAATGATAAAATCAATATCAGCATAAGTTTTTACTTCTAATTAGCAAATTTTAAGAGTGAATCACCTGATCTGAGATCGAGCCAAGTTTCCAAAACCAGTGATTCGAATCCAATGGATATCAAATGTACTACTGATGTTGGCGTGGGTGTTGATACAGAACCTGCTATGACTAGAAGAAAAATCAGACATCGATATTTTTTTTACAATTTTATAAATGCATTTTATAAATCAGAATAAGAAATGAAACTTAATGTTATAAGTAAATAAAACTCCCATGTCTTGATGAATGTCTTAATGATGTCTTAATGACAAATATGCAAAAAATTAGAAATACTAAATATAACCGTTTTACATAATTAATGACTGTTTCTTTTCTATACTAACCATCACGACTCCAGTCGTCAGAAAGGATACCCCAGTCTGACAGACTCTCACTATCCGAATCGAGTAATGGGAAAGTGTTGTGAATAGTCGTACGTCCGCCAACTAGTAACCCTCTTTCTATCCTCAACCACATGGAAGCGGAACAACCGTGTAACCACACTGACCAAGCAAGTTCCGGTCCGATAGGCAGACACGTTGCATGTATGGACCATGGACTGCAAATTCCCGCAGCAAGATGCTTCTTTTTGAAATTATTCACGAGATTCTCGGCCTTCTCCAGATTCTTATGTTCCTCGGTCTGGATTTTCAGCGATGTTTTTGTGTTATATGGTACAGGGAATGACAGGATAAAATTCGGCTGAGGTTGTGCGGCCAGCACCAAGTGATATAATGGTTCCAGCAACGGTAACAAAGGTGGTTTCTTCACTTTGAAAAACGACAGATATGCGACTAGTTCCGTCGGCGAAATTGATTGTGTTGCTAATAATGTAAAAACTTCCAGTGCCGCGTGCTGCAAGTCTGTAAAAATTCTCTATATAGTGTGCTAATATTTTATGAATATGTTAATATATTTCTCATGTTAAACTACCTCGATATCGCGGATCGTTATTTGTAAATACATTCTTAAAACCATTCAATATCTTCATAATAGTTCCTGATGCCGCGAGGGCAGCACAACTTGAGGCACTTTCTCGACAAGTAATAGTAATTCTTCGCAATCCACTAGTTATTATCGATCCTCTCTCTAAATCTAAATCTCTATAAAAAAGGATTTTATAAAGGTATAAAGTAAAATATTATAATGCGCATTAATATTTATATATTCATAAAAGTATTCAGGACTTACTGTTCGCTGAAATGAATTAAAAGGTCTATTGCCAAGGAACATAAAGCAGGATGAGCATTGGCATGACCTCTCGACTCTATTACAGGTCCAAGGAGATTGCTGCTTTTTTTTGGCATGCTATTGTTAGTATTTTTTCCAGGCACTTCAATATCCGCTTCGTATCCGTCATCAGCAGTTACGTATTCGCCAGTACTACTGTCTTCCGCGCCGTAATCCGGTAGAGTCTCCAACGACATGGTTGGAAGCTGTAATAAAATTGTTGCACTAATAAATTAATAAATATTTAGAATTCTTAATTTTTAACAATTAATATAAAGTTTTATATTTATTTATTAATTATTAATTTAATTATGACGTACTCTGGGACGCGGTTGCTGCTGTATACTGTTTTCCTGTGCTGGCTTCAACATAGAGATCTTCAACACCGCGTCCACTATCACAGCTATTCCACGGCCAAGCATTATTCCGGTATTCATTAGTATTTTTCTTAATTCCATGACTATGTCACAATCATCTACATCGTACAACATTCATTACACAAAATTGGCAATGAATAAATTTCAATAAAGCGAATGACTAATATAATTCCACGCATAATTAGATAACGTCACGATCAACCGAGATTTTAAGAATGACGTTTATCATCTGCCTACAATCCTTAAACTGTTTTTCTGACGAGTAAACACGCGAAACATCTTCGGATTATAACGCCACAGCTGCATGAGCGACTATATAGGGTGAACAATTTCAAACGTCTAAAATGATCTAAATATCTCGAAAAAAGAAAATATTATATATGAAAAATCGTTTTAGACAAAATATTTATATGACCTGATGAGATACAAATAAAATTAATTTTTTAAAAATCAATTTTTCATGGTCATATGAAA